GCAACTGCACTAAACCACTCAACCATCTTGCGGCACTCCCCTCTAAATAGGAGGCAGCCACAAGCACTTCCTCGTGCGGCAAGGTAAGTTTACACTTGATACTGGCACTGACCTCAACCATGTGTCGAGGTCTTCGCCCCTCTTGTTCCCTGTGAAGGGTTTAGGAGCGGCGATGGTCGTCTTTGGAACCCATTGACTTTGTCCCGGTACTTGGACCATTCCGGGTTGTGGACTCTATGGTGCAGGCTGCTGCACTAGCTACTGTTGGGGCTGTGTGCCCTGCGGCTGTGCAGGCTGCGAGACAGCAGGCTGCCCGCTTACAGCAACCTGCGACGGAGGTTGGGAAAACACTGTCTGTACAGAAACCTGTACACTAGGACCTGCTGAGAACCCGCTTGTTAAAGGCATACCCAGGGAGAGGCTGCACTGATGCTCGAGCGGTATATGGGGATACCCCAGGCACCGGTGGGACAAAAGGAGGAGGATGTAGAACGGGCCAGACACCAGGCCCGGACAGTGATGGTGCCGCCTGCGCTCGGCCGACCAACACGGCCAGACTCTGCTGGATGTCTTGTAAGTTCGTCGTCTGTTGATCTTGCATCTCTACTACTCGTAGCAAGACCGACCTCAGGGTCATCACTTCATCATCCAACCTCTGGGTCGGGAGTCGACACTAATGGCTGGCTTGTCACGACAACAGTGGACTGACTCACAGTCTGTGCGACCGTTGACCCTACAGAACCTGAACCACTAGCCTGAGAACTTTGCTGCGCAGCAGTGGCCATGGTTGATGAAGTAGCGGCTTCGCTTGCTGCTTGCCTCTGCTTCCCTAGCTCTTCTCTGCTGCTGCAGCCTCTCTCTCTGCTGGCGGAACAAGTATCTGTCGCCCTCTGGTCCTAATGCCAAATGGGCAGTCGGGCGTCTTGCCGATCGCAAGAGCCTATCGTCCGCCTGTGGGACCTTCCCGTTGCTCATAGGCTACAAAACTGCACACCGTCTGCACTAGGACACAATCGATGCCTACCGCAGTGACATGTACAGACCGATTTATAATAAAATGATCGGTGGCTGTTTCATAGAATGTACATTTGGGTCCAACAGGTAAGTTCAGATTCCTACAAACGAAAACTATTTTACTTTGACCAGTCCACAAACCGAAGCACAAGGAACAGAAAACAGTTCTAATTGATGCTGTCTGTCAGATGTTAATGGCTGTATATCTAACTAATCAAATAGAATCGTTTGTTGGGTCTGTTTGCAGAATGGGATCTTGCTCGAACTTATCACCTAGAATCTACCCCTCCCTCGATTATTCTTGAATGTCTCTTGTCGTCAACGTCCCTGAGCGATCCAGATAGCGTGCGTTTCTAAGGGTGTGCAAACGGCCCACCCCTGTGCCCCAAGTCCTGCTGAGCTGGCCAGCCATGCACAGTATTTATCCTCGTGTGCAGTGAGCCTTACACCGACCGATTGGCTGATCAGGAGGCACGTTTTTATTGACGGCCCCCAAAGTCCTCAGGAATTTTTTATCGTCGCAAATAGGACGACGATCACAGCCAATGGAAGGTATCCCGCCAGTGCTTATATTTATAGACGCCCGGTCTCGTCTGTCCCCTAGGGCTGGCCTGCCCTTCAGAACCCCTCTACAGCGCAGCGAGCAGAAAGGATAAAGCAGCAAAGCATGCGTGCTCTACTCCCGGTGGGTTGGCATGGTGACCGTGACCCAGTGCTTTGTCCAGGGCCCTTCAGATAGCACCGCCCTCTCCTTCCAGATGCTCCACGTGAAGATTGACAACTCTCAAGGTTGAGCGCGCACGACTCCTCACATGAGAGGACTCTCAAGACAGAACGCATCCTCTCAAGTGTCGAAGAGGGTAGATAAGGTTAGGTGCAACGTACCTCAAAATAGCTGCCCCAAACCACAAATATTCTCACCAGATGACCCAATGTTGATTGTGATGACCAGTCACTGCTTCGGCACAACCAGCATTGCGCAACCGTTGACCTCAGCATCAATCACAAACCGGTTAGTTCTCATCACACTACGAACACCCAATCATCACCGCTTAGCCTTCCTGGCGAACCCCTCTCCACCTGGGTCGCCTACTTATCTTCGCCCTCCTCACTACACACGTCCCACGGCACGGTCGCTCACCACACACACCGCGTGCATGTACCGCATTAGCGCACCGAACCACAGCTCCGATACCAAATTGCAAGGAAGATGAGCAAATGCGAACTTCAGCAATCAAACAGCATCATACACATGAGACCAGATAGCCGTGACCTCGAACCAAAAGCAGATTGCATCACGAGTTTCACGATATAAGAGCACATGAAAAGATCATAATTGATAATGCTGGAATAGTCTCATCATCATCAATCGAAGAACCATGTTGACATCCTATCTGGCGCTCGGCGCCCAGACTACGAATGGCAGATCCTATCTAGCCTAGACCACAATGTTGCTGATGACTTCAACAGCTTCCCAAGTACGAGCAGACCTCGGCCAATGCCGCACGGGTCAAGCACCAGGTATGTCTCTCATATCACTAACAACCTCGTTCCCGAACTCACAGATGCCACTTGCGCCCAAGGACCACCATGCGCCCCATCCAGCGTACAGCAGCGCAGCTCGGCTATGGCTGCCTGCTCCTTCCAGCTCGCTCGTGAGCGCGTGAGCCTGGCAGGCGATAGCGCAGCAGCGCTTGCGCACAAAGCAGCCAGTGCCCGAATGTCCAATCCGTAGGCTGGGCCTTTCCTAAATGGAAGTGGCCAGCCTGCTTTCGTGCAGCCTGGCTGCGCTGGGTCCCTGTCGAGAAGCTTCCGGTAGGCCCAGGGAGGCTGAGCCTCAGACCAAACGAATCAGGCCTAGGGCCCCCGACAGTTACCCGTGCCCAACTGCCCGTTGTCTGAGTTGGGCCTACGCCGCGTATCTCGCCCAGGGCCTGTCTTAGATGCAGTCGGTAAAGGAGGCCAGGGCCTGGGCGCCTTTAATGAACTGGCGCTGCGCAACTGCCTGAATTTTCCCCAGTTGCGAAGTAGTCAAAAATATGCCAAATATGCCTCTTGTCGTCTGTCGGACCTGCCTTCACTTAGGGCGGCCGACCTGTTGCAAATAGGGGCCCAGTAGGGCTTACCGAGGCCTATGCCTCGCAAAATGACAGAACTGACCGTTGTGTTTCATTGGTGCTTTCGCTAGAAAAAAATGACAGAACTGACCAGTAGGGGCCCAGTAGGGCTTACCGAGGCGTATGCCTCGCAAAACGACAGAACTGACCGTTGTGTTTCGTTGGTGCTTTCGCTAAAAAAAAAAAGGAAAAAAACAGGCAGTAGCTATACACATGCACAAAAGACAAAAAATATGAGAGTAGTCGAGTGAGGCCCTATTACAACTTACCTGTTGCCAGAATCTGTAGGGCCTCTCTCAACTACACACGTCCGTTGTAGTGCCTCTGTCACATGAGGGCTGCAAGTCCAGCTGTAGTCCGTTTGTAAGGGCCTCGCTCCAGTACTCGTGCACAAAAGACAAAAAATATGCCGGTGTATCTTTCCTCGCTCCACCATTCTCCAAATGTGCAAAGTGAGAATGAATCTTCCGCTAGAACATGGAAAGATACACCGCCATATTTTGGTCTTTTGTGCATGTGGAGAGCAGTGGAGCGAGGCCCTGTCAGTAAACAGGCTGTAACTGTTTCCCAAATAAGACAAAAACAAATAAGAAGAAAAAGAGGAAAAGCAACGGGCCTATCGGGCTGAAGAAAATGCCCTCTGTCGAGAATCCGTAGTGTCCGTTGATACAGGCGTTTGTTCGGTCCGATAGTGTCAGGAGAATGGTGTCGTTGCACAGCCAACAAACGCCTGTATCAACGGCACACACACACACACACACACACACACACACACACACACACACACACACACACACACACACACACACACACAAACAAACAAAAAAAAAGAAAGGCACATCCGCAGATGCACAGGCATGGGGGTCACTCGGCTGCACTCCAGTGCACTGCCTGTGCATCCTCAGTGCGTGCGGTGTGCACGTGTGCACACATCACCCGTGAGTGCATGGCGCGCGGCGCAGCGCACCGCACGGCGCACCGCTCAAGTGCGCCGCAAGTATGATAAGGACCTTTTGTTCTTCCTTTCGAAATTCGAAGGCCTTTATTTCTGGGGGACTGGCGTCCGAAGCATAGCTTGGGCATCTTGAAAATAGGGGACCCACATATTAGTATTGAGCATCATTGTGGCAATGGAGGGCATCCTCATGATTGGACTAGCACTGGTTGTGCTCGGGATTCTCTTGACCTCCGGGCAGTGATTGCTGCTGATTGTGGTCATGTTTGTACGCCCGTGACTCTGACACTGTGGCTTGTTTGTTTTCAATTGGTTGACTGGTAATTTGGATGCGGGCTGCGCCTTGCTGTAGTTGCATTTGAATGTGTGTTTGTGTACAGACATTTGACTACAACCACCACACATTCACACGCGAATGCAACCAGACAACCGCATTCGAATACGTCCATGCGACCTCAACCAGACAACCTTACAACCAGAGCTTGGGTCCTCAAGGCTGCAGCTGAGTTGTGGTTCGCTTGGATAGAGCTGTGGAGCTGTAGTGGGTGGCAGAGTAGAATACAGCTGTTCTGGTGCAAGTGTTGGATGTGAACACAGCTGTCCTAGGGGGACTGCCCCAGGTGTGCAGCAGCTGCCCCTTGTGAGGGCAGGTGTTCTGAGGCATAGGTGGTACTGCTGGTGCACTTGATAGCTGTCCTGATGCATTTGAGGTACAGCTGAATAGGGTTGTCCTGGTGCTTGGCCGGTGCGTGCGAATTCAGCCCTAAATTCCCTAATGGCACACGGGTGACACACGAGAATGCAGCTGTTGTGGTGCAAGTGGCACATGTGAGCTCAGCAATGTCAGGGAGCGAGTGAGGCATGCTTGTGAATACAGTTTTCCTGGCATGGGTGGTGCATACACGTGAATGCAGCTGCCCTGGCGTGGATGGAACATCTGAACGCAGCTGTCCTGGTGTGGGTGGCGTACATCAATACATCTGTTCCGGCACAGGTAGGGAACGTGAAATCAGCTGTCCTGATGTAGTGTGCTGCACATGAATACAGCTGTCCTCACAGTGGTCTGGCGCATGTGAATACAGATGTCCTGGCAGTGGCAGCTGTCCTGGCTGTCGTATGGCACATGCGAATACAGCTGTCCGGGCAGTGGCATGGAACATGTGAATAGGGTTGATAGCCAAATCCTAGTAGAGAGCAGAGCTACAGGTGTGTCGTTTGAATACAGCTGTGTGCCACCTTGTTGTATTGGCTGTTTGAACACAGAACTTTAGCGGCATATACACCAGTTCATAGCTCTGGATAGCGGCATATATATAGCTCTGTAGAGCAGCACTTACATAACTCTGTATACCCGCAGACAGCCCCATATATGGCAGTACAGATAACAGTACATAGCTCTACATAGCAGCATATGCATCTCTCCATGGAGCAGCAGGTACATAGCTCAGCATACCCGCACATAGGCCATATACGTAGCTCTACATAACCAATAGCCGGTCCGGTTGAACACAAGGACATAGCTGTATGTCCTGTAGTTGTATCTGAGTGCCCAAATATGGAATCGTGCGGTTTAATGGGTACACAGCTCTGCATGGCAGCAAATGCACAGCTTTCCGTGGCAAATAGTTGTACATACCAGTTCATAGCTCTATTTGATAGCACACTTAGCAATGCATACTAGCTCTATGTAGAAGTGCCTAGGTTTTGTACCCCCTGGCATGCCGTCCCCTCTTTCTGCTGCAGGTGGCACTGCAGCAGGCAGCTAATAATAATTTCTTGTTCCTGCACCTTGTGCTGTGGTGGGCAGCTAACCTCTTGTAGTAGTAGTAATAATACAAATTAAATGGCCTCATTTCAGTTGTGAACATTGTTCCAAGGACGCCTTCATAAGTTCCTGTTGATGACAAAGGGGAAGAAGGAACAAGGAATAGTGAAAAAAAAATCTTCAGTAATAAAGAATATTCACCATGTCTTGTGAATACCAAGAGATAAACGGTTACTCATGCTTCTGAGTCTGAAAGATTCACCATAGCGATTAGAGCTTTGGGAGCACAGAGTGGTGCGTGCAAGGTGCAGTTTGCTCGGATCCGGAGGTATGTAACGTGCGTGGTAGACTGGTGATACTGCATGATTCTCTTGGCTGTACGTCCTAATCAAGCCCGGGTGTCATATCATCAGCGGTCATAGATGTGTGGAGAGTCTGGAGACTCTTTCATCAGCATTTTTCAGTTTGGCTGTCGTCATTGTCCAAGTAATGGTAGAGGATGAGGAGTGCTAAATTGCATGGATTTTTAGTGCAATTCCTTCGTTCCTTCCAAGAGACCTAATGCACGTTTACCTGAGTATGAAGTTACTATGAACGAGTGAGGTATTCAAGAGAGAACAGAGTGGCTCTAAATAATCAACTCTCCGCAATGTGTGGTAGACTGGTGATACTGCATGATTCTCCTGGGTGATGACTGATGCAGGCTTTACGTCCTAATCAAGCCCGGGTGTCATATCATCATCGGTCATAGATGCGTGGAGACTCTTTTATCAGCATTTTTCAGTTTGGCTGTCGTCATTGTCGAAGTAATGGTAGAGGATGAGGAGTGCTAAATTGCATGGATTTTTACTGATTTTTTAGTGCAATTCCTTCGTTCCTTCCAAGAGACCTAATGCACATTTACCTGAGTATGAACGAGTGAGGTATTCAAGAGAGAACAGACTGGCTCCAAAGAATCAACTCTCCGCAATGCTTGTGCGCAGGGTGCTGCTGCTGTCAGTCTTTTGACCGGCCTGCTCTGCTTTCTCCGGAAACTTGTACCGGTCTCCGGTGAAGTTTTAGTTGCTGATTTCCTTGTAAGTGTGTGCTATGCTCCTGTGGGCTCCAATTTGTCGGCAGCCTAAATCCTTGGTGGTGTATTCAATATCAAGCAAGTCACACATATTCTGAGACCAGGTACACGTCTGCTCGGTAGCGTGATATGCAAGCTTAGGACAGTCTTCACTACACCTTTGTGGCTAGTTCTTTCTGGTAAATGGGGTTTGGCATATTGTGTCAGAAAGGCAAGCAGCAATTTACTAATTCCTTATTCGTTTCCTCTGGTGCACAATCCCTGTTCTGCCACTTAGTTCCTCAACCTGCTTAGCGCCCTTAGCCTCTCGCTTGGCTCCACTAGTTTGTCTTTTGAACGACTACCGAATTTTGGAATCTCATTTTCTGAGCTCTTATCTTCTTTTTCTTCCTGTCTGTTTGACGGGTTGTCAGATTTGAGCAGTAGCAGATTATGCCCCTGTGCAAATCTTTCTGAGCTCTATCTTCTTTTTCTTCCTGTCTGTTTGACGATTCCCTCCCACCTGCTTATTGTTTTCTCTTCCGTGTTTTGTTCCATGACAAATGTAATATGTGGCATGGTATCCACTGTGGCTCCAGTTGGTTTATTGAACCTGGAGTTCTGCTGCTGCTGCTGTTCCTGCTGTCCGTAATGAGAGACAATTGTGAGCTATGTGCAAACCTGCCATATGTGAAATGACATGACCCTTCCTGAAACAAGCGCCTTAAACCACCATGCAAATTCTCAGCCCAAATCTGCATCAGTCGAGGCTGTAGGTCGTCATTTCCCTATCTCCATACTTACTAAAGGATGGAGAGGGCCCGGCGACAAGCCCTGTCACGGGCCCAGCGAATTTCTCGGGAGGCGGGCGGCACTGGGAGGAGGCCCGAATCGGGCAGTGGGACCGCAAATTTTGAGGCGGGGTCCAGGCCTCATCGGAGGAGAGGCCCACGAAATTGCTGGCGCACGAGCCGGGCGGTACCGGTAGGAGGCGGGGACAGGGCGGTGGTACC